AGAGAGAGAGAGAGAGAGAGAGAGAGAGAGAGAGAGAGCGCGCGCGTGAGAGAGAGAGAGAGAGAGACGTGAAAAGACGTTTACCACCACCACTACTCTACTACTACAACTATACCTGTCGTTGTTATGCGATCAGGACCCGCATTCACCCGCCTGGCCGGGGAATACAGCTACCGGGTGATAGTGATGACAGGAGGGATGCTGGCTACGGGTGGCATGTGTCTCAGCTACGGAGCAGTAGAGCTGAGGACCCTGATAGGTGCATATGGCCTGTTGACAGGTTAGTTTCAATTAACATCAGGAGTCTATCAATAGACTATTGATAGACTATCAATATATTATTTATAGACTCCTGTTAACATCAATGACACCATTAGTGACATCATCAGTGACATCATCAGTGACATCATCAGTGACACCATTAGTGACATCATCAGTGACATCATCAGTGACATCATCAGTGGAGGTATTTACCTATCAGTGAGAGCGTCGATAACTAAGCGCGCCATCTTGAAAATTATTGCCAGGTTCGGCGCATTTTGCACGCGTGCGCATCGACTTCGCGGCACTTCGTTACTTAGAAGCGTTTTTAGAACGCTTCCATTGCAACGCGAATCGGCTGCAAGAGGGCGCTGTCAATCATTTCATACGGATAGGTCCGTTCGGGACACATGCGCGCACAGATAGCCCACGTTATCTTAAAATCCGCTGACGTAGGCCTGCTTTTTCAAATACTAGACCCCAGTCCGAGCAATACTCTCTATGCTCGAAATCAAGACGTACGGCATACCCTGTAGTTTTCATCCGGCATCGATTAATCGGACGAAGAGGACTCGACGGTGCTTTTATTAACCAATACAACTAAATCGCCGATTCTCTGCCTAAATATTAACTCTGATTGTTTGCAGGCTTTGGCGCAGGAATGATAAATTCCCCATCGAAAGTTATTAATGGGTCGTACTTTAATAAGAAACGCTCGCTGGCAAACGGACTTGTGAGCATATCTACCGCCGTTGGCTCTCTCGTTGGTCCTCTACTGTGTATCAAACTCCTTGAGATGTACACCTGGCATGGCACACTCATCATTCTAGCCGGCATCTATCTACAAACGGTAGCAGCCAGCGCCCTCTTCCGGCCAATACCAAAAGCAGCAAAGGAGACGCAACGCAAACGCGGCAGCAGCAGAAGTACCCAGCTAACGATGCCGATCACCGATCTGATAAAACTCGGAGTTCACTGTCTGAGTAATGTCGCCATGGGCGTCAGCGCGTTCATAGTGATGACATTCTGGGTGCTGTACGGCATGTCGCAGGGCTTCAGCTTCACTCGGGCCGCTCAGATGATGAGCGTGCTCGGGGGCAGCAGCGTCCTCGGTGGCTTCATCGTCGCCGCTACGGCCGACAGACAGTGGTTCCCGCGACACGTCGTCTTCGTGCTGGCGACGCTCGCGATCTCGCTCTTCAACTTCGCGTTTCTGTTCGCTCGCGATCTCTGGGTTTACGCGCTCTGCTGCGTGTTGTGCGGATGTAGCGTCGGCGTCAGAACAAGCATGGAGACGACGATACTTGTTGACCTGTTCGGCATCCAGCATCTGTCGATCGTACAGCCCATCTACTCGCTGTGCTTTGGACTGGGAGCTTTCGTCGGGCCGCTAACAGCGGGTAAGCGAACGCAAAGTGTTGGGAATTAAAGCGAAAGCAAAGGGAATTAAGCTCCAGGGGCGTTTTCACGCTATGTTTTACGATACACGGTGACATACACGGGGGAATTCCGTGTGGGTATGCACGCACGTGGCAATGTTGGCATGGTGATTCATTCGGGCAGGCTTGGAAACCGTCGAAACTAAATGGGCATTTTCATTTCTATCCATTTTAACTGTAATTAATTCCATGATGTGATTTGATGAGCCATATCTGATGGGGTTCCAACCCCTTTAGTTGAAAAAACTGGTGAAAACCAGTAACGCTTTTAAAAATGTCTGCCGTGTTAAAAATACTGTGTTATAACTTTAAGTCATGTAATGTTACACACACGCACACACGCACGCACGCACGCGCACGCGCACGCACGCACACATGCACACACAGTCACACACACACGCACGCACGCGCACACACACAACACACACACACATACACACGCACGCATGCACACGCACGCACGCGCACGCGCACGCACGCACACACACACACGCACGCACGCGCACACACACAACACACACACACACACACATGCACACGCGCACACACACAACACACACACACACACACATGCACACGCGCGCACACACACACGCACGGAGACAATACGGGCACTAAGTAGTAGGTATGACAGTAACATGGATGGGTTTCCTTTTTATTTATATACAGTGCACTTCCTACCTCAACCAACAAGAACCATCGAAACCGAGTATAAAACATCCATCTTACTTGGTTTAGATCTGCGTGTTATAGAGCCAAACCTTCTGACCAAACGATATATTGGAGGGAGGCACGTGTTACTAGCATTAGGCTTGGCCTTCTATGGCTTTAATGGTAAAACAGATTTCTGTTCGCATGAGGCGCCCCAGCATAACATAAAGAAACGTGACAAGGGAAAAGCATTTATACCGAGTCACCTGTATCTTATCCAATCTTTTTATATCGGCATATCAATCTTTCCTGATCTACAGTAGAAATAGTAAACACAGCTAAAGTGGGTATACCAACTAACTACCTATGTAGGTATATAGAACGCCTGTTTTGACCTCAAATGTTAAAAAATGTTCATAAATTTAACAACATGAGTTGTCACAGGGATAATTTTTGGTATAATCGTTAACTGCAAGAACGTCATTGTGCTTGAGTAGATCCCCACACGACCTGTCCAATAATTGCCAGTTTAAACGCACTGGGATATAGATTCGTCTACTGGCCCGGTTGCAATGGTTTGTGGATGAGTGAGGAGCTCAATATCCCGGCACCCTCTCGGCGTCATATGCGCAGTAATGCACTTATAGTAAATACATTTCGTGCGTATTTACTATCATTTCACTATTGAAGCGTTCCAAGTGCCTGTGCTAATGGCTAGCGATGTTACTATACATCGGCACCATATAGCAATGCCTGATCTTTGTACTTGTGTTCCCGTACAGGTACTCTGTTGGACTACACTGACAATCTAAAGCTTGTTGTCATTCTTTGTGGAAGCGCGTCTGCTGTGGGCGCAGCGTTGCTGAGTGGCGCCCTCTACATTGACTACGGACAGAAACGCACGAGGCGGGAAGCACCCAGGCATGGGGCGTCTAGTACAGTCGAAACCATTTTCGATTAAACAACTGGGACGTAGCACGTAGATATTATTCTACGAATAATTATTCTAGGGAAATAATTATTATGGGCAAAAGAGCAAAATTGTGGAAATCATACTATGGAAGCAAGAGTGAAATTATGCGAATACACAATTTTACCTTTCTTCCTAAATAACAGTGAAACATGGACTAACTTAACTAAGGAAGAAGTAAACATGTTGCAGGATATCCAAAATGATCCAAGAGATGGCGCTGTGGCATGTAGACATTGGTTCCCGAAGCGAGTTTTTTTGCCGAAATGTTTACTGAATGACGCACTCGTTGACTTGCGACAGCGAGTCAAAATGCAGAAATTTTTTCTCTCTTCGATGCGAAATGCATCGGCCGGGCATTTCATTATTTACGAAAAGTCAACGGGCTGGCAGTAGGTACACCCGTCCGTACAGGAGTCAGCTCACGTCGTTGACGCCCCATTCATGCCCATCAACAAATAAGGCGGGGCTTATTGTGCTTACAGATATGTGAAAGAAAAGAACTTAGCACTGTGCGCAAAACAGCGTGTTATATTCGTATTTGTGCCAAACTCTATCGTATGAAACCGTTCTAGCCTAGCAGAATGCCCTAGTTCCTGAGATCGGCGATTCCATGCTCGCATAGCTCCCGGCCCCCCCACTCAGTGTTATTTAGGGTACGCATTAGCTCTAGTAACTATAGCCCGCGTACAGTTGCCGCAGGGCTATAGAGCGTAACATGGCAACTACATGGTGATTCCCAGGTTTTCTGTTGTGTGTGTCTTGCCTTGCCAGGCGTCTTCTCCTATGCGACTTAGCAGGTCCTCGTATACAGCTGCTACTTGGTTGATTGATCTGCAACGCAATTGCGACAGTTACATTGACGTTAACATTTGTTCAAACTTCGTGTGCATGTGGTATAAATCGTATGGTACCTGCAGTAAATGATGGTTTTTTCGGCATTCGGACCCGCTGTCCTCATGTGGTCCACCAACCACTGCACCTCCTGTTGGTAGCTGCGTACTCCAGTTTTCCATTGAATGTAGATGTTTTTTCTGTAAGATAACAAAGTTAGAAAAGCAAATCACTAAGAAAAACCAATATTTAATTGTTACTTAAATATTGTGTTAAATAACAATAACATGTATATTTTGTATTTGAAATTAAGAAAGACTAGATGCTTTTGAAAACGTTTTACTTTAGAATGAACTATTCAAGAAAGTATGTAGACACAGAAACATTGTAAGGTATTAACCTGTATGGAACTGCTGCAATGGTTTGGACCTCATCCGGCTGAATGTTCAAAATGTCCAAAATTGATTGCTGTAACTGATCTGTGCATGTTGCTGTCAGAAACAGCCATCTCGTCGACTTCGGTAGGATTGAATACACTTTGCTGATTTCCCTGTACTCAGGTCGGAAATCAAGACCCCTGGAGTGAATAAGAACGACTTGTCATGGTATAACAAAGTGAATGAGATTAGCAATGACTTTAGAACTGAACGGAAATTAAAACAAAAAGAAATCAGTTAAAAACACAAGTATATGAATAAATAGTTTCATTATGTTTCATTAAGTTTCATTATGTAATGTGCAATTTACCATTCAGAAATGCAGTGAGCCTCGTCACACGTGAACAGACACA